TCCTCGTTCTACCATGATTAATTTTGAAACTCTAAAATGAGAAAAATGAAGTAATTCATTGACCTAATTTAAAGGTTACTATTTCTCATCTGGTCTCAGCATCTGCACTGTCTCTTTATAAAAGTGACTGGTTCACTTCGACTTGTTTCCTACCCCCAATATACTAACTGTTTCTGAAATGTATCGCTTCCAAATAATATGGTTCTACAAATTTGTGTAGTGTTTAGTTCACTTTGACCTGTTTCCTGCAATAACCAACTGTCTCTAAAATGTAACTCTTCCTGATAATTTCTTTTATACCAATTTGTGAAGTGATCGGTTCACTTGAGCACCCACTTTCAAGCTTGTCACTGGAAGGCTCAATAACAACTGACGGTGAAAGTCCCAGGAAGACATTGAAAGGCCTAAGTAATTCAAGTATAGGACCCGGTGGTGGTTCAGGTGGAACCGTGCTTTTATTCTTGCGCGCACTTGAGATAGGGAGGTCTGCGATGCTCTCTAGTATTGGAGGAAATGGAAGCTTAAAGGGAGGTGGTGGAGGAAGTGGTGGAAGGATTCATTTTCATTGGTCAGACATTCCCACTGGTGATGTCTATCATCCCGTTGCCAAAGTAAAGGGAAGAATTTATGTAAGGTTTGTTATAAGAAGTTCATACGCAACAACGTTATAATTATGATAACGTATTTGCGATTTTCATTTTGGAGAAACAGTTCATTCTATTATTAGCTACTATAAGGACTCTAGTTTCTCTTCTTAATGTGTTTCTAGGACTTAACATGTGATTTCAATAATGATTTACAGAGGAGGGATGGGTATCATTGAAGATAACTTTGGAGAGAATGGAACTTTGACTGGCAAAGCTTGTCCAGAAGGGCTCTATGGTTTATTTTGCGAGGTAGTGTTGGACTTCTTTATGTGTTATTGTTTCTCTGCATCAAAACATTTTTTTATGGTTTGTTATAGTTTTCCTGTACTCTCTACTAGATTTGAGTGAAATGGTTTCAGCTAATGTTATATTCTCTATACCAACCAAACAATAGCAAGTATATTAAATACATAATGTCAGACCTGCTTAGGCTAGAGTTGTTTAGTGTCCTTTTTATTATCTGTTGATATAAGGGTAGTTCACTATTTATTACAATAATGAAGTTTACCCTCCTTGTGAGCTATATGTTGGGCCGTGACATATAGCTCTTCAACTCCATTAGCGTAGCACAGCTTTAAATGTCGACCAAAAAATTAAAAAACTTGCTTCACCGATCTACATGTTTAATTTTTCTACAGGAATGTCCATCTGGCACTTATAAGAATGTTACTGGTTCTGATAAATCTCTTTGTCATCTTTGTCCGGCTAATGATCTTCCCCATCGTGCTGTATATGTCACTGTTCGAGGTACTTTTTTATTTGGAACATTGATCAGTTTATTGAGGGATAGTGATTTCCGGTGCAATGTGTTTGCCCTGTCTTTATTTATATTCTCTTGTATCTGATACACAAAATTTCTGTGTTTGACTTCTTGACAGGCGGTGTTGCAGAAACTCCTTGTCCATATAAATGCATTTCGGATAGATATCACATGCCACACTGTTACACTACGCTTGAAGAGTTAATATACACATTTGGTGGACCCTGGTTGTTTGGTGTTCTTTTAGTAGTTGTGCTCCTCCTACTAGCACTTGTTTTCAGCGTGGCCCGGATGAAATTTGTTAGCGGTGACGATTTACATGGGTCTGCCCCGACCCAGCATGGCTCTCAGATTGATCACTCATTTCCATTCCTCGAGTCCTTGAACGAGGTGTGCTTAATCTCTAACTTTTATCTGAGTCTGGATGAAATTTTTTGAAGGGAGAAATCATGTGAGTGGAACATAACAATAGATTCCAGGGTTTATTGCTGCTACTAGATGGTTCTCCTATTGACAAATAAATCTGAAATATTTCGTTGGAACTCGTAAGAAAGAAAGAGAAATTTTGAAATAGATCGCGAAAACATGATTATAATCAGTGTTTGCTATTTTAGTTGTTAAGGTGCTCCTCTTATAGTTAATGTCTGTGTTGTAACATTAATTTTGTGTTTAATTTAACAGGTGATGGAGACGAGCAGAGTGGAGGAATCACAGGGTCACATGCATAGGATCTATTTCTTAGGTCCTAATACTTTCAGTGAACCTTGGCATCTGTCTCATACACCCCCAGAGGAAATAAAAGAGATTGTGTAAGTTTGTTATTAGCTGTTGATTTTTTACCTTTCAGTGATAATTTGTTTATGCATGCCTGAAGAGATACTTAGTTTTTAGCCTCTCCTAATTTTAATTTTCTCTAGGTACGAGGCTGCGTTTAATGGGTTTGTTGATGAGGTCAATGCTATAGCTGCATACCAGTGGTGGGAGGGTGCGATTTACATTATGCTTTCAGTTCTTGTCTATCCTCTAGCATGGTCATGGCAGCAATCACGCCGAAGGATGAAATTTCAGAAACTCCGTGACTTTGTCCGATCAGAATATGACCATTCTTGTCTACGTTCTTGTCGTTCGAGGGCATTATATGAAGGGCTAAAGGTACATATTCATATATTGAGCGATACACTCTACTGACTACCTTTAGAACATTGTAAATATTAGCAAAGATAGAGATAAGGCCAATCATAGTTTCTGAATTGGTGGAGCAGTCATCATAGTTCTAATAGGATCTTAGTCAAGAGGTTGGAGCTTATATGTTCCTGAAACAAGGTTCCATTTCATTATTTAATGTTGGCAAAAAAAAGGATTGCAGTAGAAAAATCACTAAAATTTGTAATGTGCAGGTAGCTGCTACTCCTGATTTGATGTTAGCTCATCTAGATTTCTTTCTTGGTGGTGATGAAAAGAGAAGCGATCTTCCTCCTCCAGTTAATCGAAGACTTCCGATGCCTATAATATTTGGAGGCGACGGAAGTTACATGGCCTACTACTCACTCCAAAGTGACGATATTCTGACTAGTCTTCTGAGCCAGGTTCGTGTTTTTATTTCATAGACTGATCTATGTGGTGTGGTCTTTTACTTGCTTCACCTGTATGGATTTCTGTCATTGGCTGCACTATCATAATAAATTTATCCCCTTTTTATAGTTGGTCCCACCAACCACTTGGTACCGCTTTGTTGCTGGTCTGAACGCTCAGCTGCGTCTGGTTCAGCAAGGGAAATTGAGGTCTACGTTTCGCTCTGTTATGAGATGGATTGAAACTCATGGAAACCCTGCTTTGAAAAGACACGGTGTACGCGTCGACCTAGCTAGGTTTCAGGGATTGTCTTCGTCGTCTTGCCAGTATGGGATTCTTGTTCACACCATTGTAGATGAAGTGACATCAACAAGAAGTATTGATGAAACAGAACAGCAGCATCCATGGTAAGAAATTTCACTTCGATTCTCTCTGCTGTTTATTTGCGAAGCACATTACTCGAAAGATCCAGACGCTCTGTAATTTTTGAAAATGCAGGGGGACACAAATTGAAAACTCCTCTGGTGATTTTAGGGAGAATTTTCATAGTATTCAACCTCTAAGAAGCGAAATCAACCATGTGAGGCATCGAGAGTGTGGAGAAATTATAGACATTGGAAGCTTACAATTTCTCAAAGAAGAAAAAGATGTCCTTTCCCTCATCTCCTTCTTGATTCATAACACAAAACCTGTTGGCCATCAGGTAAAGCCTCCTGCAACTTCATCTTTGCTTCAAGCATGTTTTCCTTTTTTTCCTCTTTACTGCTGAGTATTGAAATCTGTACTTTTCTGCGGTGTTAACAGGATCTGGTTGGTTTGGTTATCTCGGTGCTACTCCTAGGAGATCTAACTCTAATGTTACTCACGCTGCTCCAACTCTACTCTATATCTTTGCTGGATGTTTTTCTAGCTATGTTTATTTTACCTCTCAGCATCATTTTCACATTCCCTGCCGGTGTCAGCGCTTTGTTTAGCCACGGACCACGACGCTCTGCTAGTCGCACACGCGTTTATGCACTGTGGAACGTCACATCCCTGGTCAATGTCGTAAGTATTTATCTTTTAATGGAAATGCTAAATCTTAAAATTCGCCTTCTCTAGTTTCTGCAGATTCCTCTTACATGAGTACAAATCCTTTTGGGCCTGGTGGGGTTTTGCAGGTTGTTGCGTTTGTGTGTGGATATGTTCACTATCATGGCTCATCATCTGGGAAAAAAATCCCGTATCTCCAGCCATGGAACATTAGCATGTGAGAGAAGAAAACAAACTTCACTTTATGTTCAAACCAAACAACACATTCCTTCTTGCATCAGCTACTAATTTCTATTTCTTTTGCAGGGACGAGAATGAATGGTGGATATTCCCAGTCGCTTTGTTTCTGTGCAAAGTCTTGCAATCCCAACTTGTAAACTGGCACGTTGCAAACCTCGAGATACAAGATTACTCCTTGTACAGTGATGACTCCGACCTGTTCTGGCAGTCGTGAGACACAACCCAAACCATAATTTATACAAAAAAAAGGTGGAGGGAGCTCGTTTTTTTAAAAGGCGTCTTCTGGTTTGTGCACAAGCTGATTCAAAGATTTTTCAGGTGAATATAGCTAACTCTTAGAAAAGTAGGAAAAGTAAAAGAATAATCCTGAGAACACGCTTTTATTTTGTTCCCACGCCAAGATCCATCTTGTGTTCTTTTTGGTAACATTGATGGATGATCCGCACTGGAATGTTTGATTTGCGGTTTAAATGATGAATGTCTTCACTACAAAGATACTCTGTTATTAGTTTGGTGATTGTCTTGTTGTCTCTCTTCTTCGTACATTAATCATCATTATATTTAGCACATGGTTTGAGATTAGGTATGTCATGAACTTGGATGTAACCTAGTAATTGTTCGGTTATTACCCGATCGGCCGAGTTCAAAACGACCAGGACTATCACAACCACCGTATTCAAAATGGAATTTAGTTGCCATATAGAAAGGTTTTGGTACTGAGTTAGAAACTTGGAATGTTGTAGGGTATATATAGCCTGTGTGAGACTTCACAATTCTTATAGGATCAGTAAGGGTCAAGACACTGAAATACTACATCTTATTACAATCTGCCAAGCCTCCTCAGATTTTACTAAGAGAGTGTTTAGACCACAAAGCCTTACAAGTCAAGGCCTAATCACCATTGACCAATCAGTTTTTTAAGCTTATAAAATCTATCACCTGGTTTCTACTTGAAACAAAAACAAACTCAAGATTAGCTAGACGAGAGATTGACACAACAAATGTTGCACATCTTGGCCATTAATTTCAGAAACCAATAGAATGAGAATCGGATCTGACAGTGAATCTCTCCAGCCAAACAACTCCAAGAAGCTGCACATGAAAGACACATATACCACAAAGAAAATCAATGCGCAATCATCTTTCCATAACGAGATTCTATCTTAACAAATAAGATAAGATCATAAGCAGGTAACAATGATTCCTCCTCTATGGATAAGAGTAGAGTACCTGAAAAGTTACTCTTTGTTTAGTATTTTAGGAACTTTTAAATATGCCTCCTCAAAGCTTGGAATGGAAGCTCTTATACTGTCCCTGTTTATCAAAACACTCAAGTTTAGTAGATGGGTTTCCATCTTAAAACCGGAATCATTCTACTATACCATACTGAAAAAACTGTATAAGAGCAAACCTGTTCTCAAATGTTTCAGGAGAATCCTCTCGCAAATTTCCACCATCCATTTCTACAAGTTTTTAACAGATCAAGCAAGTATCAAGATACTGAAATAGGCAGTTCAGTTTCCTGATAGCCAAACGGATCAACAATGATAACTAGACACCTTATAACAGTAAAAACATATGCCTCCTCAGATTTGACCAAGAGAATGTGTTTAGACTACAAAGACTTGCAAAGTCAAGGCCTAATACCAACCAGCTTTAGCTTAAAAAGATCTGTCACATGAGTCTACTTAAACCAGACACACACTCATGATTTGCCGCCATTTGTGAGATAGGCATAAACAAACTTTACTTACAACTAGATTTGCCAAAAAGCTATGATACACAAACCAACTCTATGAGAAAGTAGAGCAATCTATGAATCTTCTTCTTTTCATAGTTTCCACTCTTACATAATAAATTGATGGAAGCATATGATTCTGACCTGCTCTGATCGCTGGTTCCACACTGTTAACATCAACTTGTTGAAGCTGGCCGAACCTGCATTTGTCACCACCAATCAACAACAATTTTTTTTTAAATATATTCAAAGACATAATCATGGAAATTGTAGAAGAGGGTTAGGTTACTTACCAGTCAATGACTCGACGAATTTTAGTTTCACATTCCTCTATCTGAAAACAATAAACATAAAGAAGATCAAAGGAAAGAAGAGGAACAATGTGAGAACTCAATTCGACAATTAGTACCTCGGCCGGAGTTAGAGAGATGCGAGCTGTCTCTGCCAGACGGGAAACGTCCGGCGGCTGAAGAAGGGAGGAATCCGTGTCAGAGGAGTAACTTCGAGCTATTCTGTGGATTTTTCTACTGTGTTGTTGGAAATTGAGACTTAAAGAAGAAACTGAAGATTGGATTTTGATCCTGCTCGATGAGATGAAGCAGCGACTCGGAGACGCAGATATAACGGCGAGCAAAGCTCTGGTTGCCATGTCTAAGTTGAATCCTCTCTCTCTTATCTCTCAAGCCCGCCGTGCTGGATGGATACGAGCATTGAACAGAGATATTTGCTAAAGCTGTGCCGTTTCTAAAGACTAACTAAACCGGTTTTAACCGGTCCACTTACAAATAGCATGATTTTTGCTTTGCAGATTTCCAGTCAATCACTTCATCTTAGATGAAATAACCGGTGACGACAAAAAAAACATAAAAAAATAAAAATAAAAATGAAATAACCGGTTTTCTTGTTGGTAATTAACTAATTAACGAAATGACTCCAAACTCAAACAAAAAATTAGGTTAAAGTGTATTTTATACAAACAAAATAAAAAAAATCGAACACACGTTGAATTATAAATTACCAGCACGAAAACCATCTTCTTCTTTACTTTTGCAATCAGCGCTCAAAACAGTGGATGAAAAAAGAAAAGAGAACAATCTTTTCTTTACCAGTCTATTTTTGGTTTAAAAAACAGAGAATTAAGGTCGTACAAACTCAGGCACACAAATAACATATTGAGCTTCAAACTGGCGTTAACACTCATCGAGAAAAGCACGTCCGAGATTGGTTGCTAGAGCAAGTCTCACAGAACCCACAGCTTGAGTAGACAAATCAGATTCTATGAAGCCTGGTCTTAATCTTGCAACTGATAGCTCTTGTAATTTGTTCAACATCAGGTTAGTCTGTGTTACATTCAACAGCGACTGTTCTGGCCAATTCAACAGCTTTAACTGCACACACAAAAACTCTTTTTAAGTTGCACATTCTCCTTGTTAGAAAATCATAAAAGGAAAGAAAATAAGGCTTGGTTTCGTTACTGAATCATGCAGAAGAGGAAGCCAGAATCGTTGAGGAGTAGAAGGGCTCTTCATTAGCTGCAGTAATTCAAATGGCATTAGTTTCCAATTACTCAGAGGAGAAAAATGTGTATGAGAGAATGTTGTACTACACACCGATACAAGTCTCTCCACGGCTTCATGGGCTGCATCTATACTTTTTCCATCATGGACTAGCTTCAGTGATCTCTTGAAGTATCTATACCTGGAATGTATAGCATCCATGATAAATTAATAATGCTGGGGCAGAGTTTTACAAAAAACAAGTCATTTGCAAAGCCAAAGAGAGAGAGAGATGATTAATACTTGTGAAGAAAATCGAGACCACCAGAGATCTGTGATTCCGAGCCTAGCAACTCAACCAGGCCTTCCCATTGCTGCATGTATGAAATGAAATAACATCATCTAGTGCACAGGTAGAACCGACACGGATGTTATAAACAGAAATTTGCTTTGAGTATGGCTTATAGAAAATATACCTTGAGACTTTCATCAGACAATGACTTTCCAACAGAATCAAAGAGCTGTTGAGAAATCACGCTGAGACAATGTTCGTCCCGGGCTTGTTGGAGCCAAAAGATTCCAGACCCTTTCCTTCCATGTTTCCAGTGATGCACTCCAGAAATCTAAACACCATAACTTACTTTAGAAGAAATCTTTTTTGAGATTAGATAACACGTGTAGAAAAGTCCCTCAATTTATCAATACCTTCATAAGTTTAGCGCTGACATTACTGAGTTCATATAGACGGCAAATTTCTAGGCTCTGCAACAAGAGAAACATAAGTTAAGGCTTCAGACAAGATCCTAGAATTTTAAAGTACAAAACAGAACTAGAAATTGATGTACAAATGAAATAAAAAAAAAAAACCTTAATAAGCAACTGATTGTCTTGAACAGGCTGTCTGTAGAACAACAACTCTAATAAGCCTAATCCCTGTTTCTCGCACGATGCTAGATAAATAGGAGCTATCTGCAAAAATTCAAACAGAAAAAAGGAAGACTTTAATATAACAAGTGTAATAAGAACGAAACGGATTCGATTACAGGAATTACTTCATAAGTCATAAAAGTACCTGCCACGTTAAAGCATGAGAAGAAAGAACTTGAGCATAAACAAGTCTGTGGAGCTCTTCCATATTGATTCCACCCAACCTTCGCTGCTCCTCATGTACAAGAACTTCTCCTTCATCGCTTCCAGCTGTTAATAATTCCATGGAATGTGCAACCATCCTAACAATAAACACGAATAGTATCGTCCTGATTCTTATAGATAACATACTTAATGAAGTTAGAAACACGAAACAAAGACCGTCTGCCTACCAGGAGCCAAATCCTTTGGAACACTCTGCCAGAACAACCTGCATAATTTAAATACACCATGCTGGATAAGAAAGTGGCGAGCTGTAACAGTTGCACCTTTGACTGGGTTTAAGATGTACAACTGACCTCAGTATTTTCTCCAAGAATTCCAATAAGCAGTCTTAGAAGCTTATGGGAAGTGCTAACTGGCTTTGACTGCATACATTTCAGGGCTAGGCTATGCATGCTGTCTAATCCCTGCAATGCAAAATGGTACTGATTAAGTTTTCAAGTTTCCTCTTTGAATAATAGAGATCTGAGTAAAAAATACACAGCTCAAATATAAATAGACAAACAGCAGGTAAAGCAATTAACCTTTGTGAATGGCCTGAGATATAGAAGATGTGAAACAAAAAGCTCCACCCAATTACATGTTGCAGCTGTGAGGCAATCAGCATTTCCTATCATGATCTTCAGCATATTTCTCAAGCCCTCACGGGTCTGATGGTGAGCACATTGAACCCAGAAGGCACTGCACTCTAGTTTAGATATCTGAGACTGCCATCTTTCTCGTGTCTGGCAGAAAGGGCAAGATGAGTCTAGACACATAATTTTTTTTTGAGAAGATGAGTCTAGTCTAGACACATAATAAAATACACTAAAACAGAGTTAGAATAATACACCTTTCCAACATACCTTCATAAAGTCAGGCTTTGCTGAAAAGGATTCACCAAACTTCCCATCTTCTAGTTTTGGACGCATTCGTGGCATTTTTGAAATGAGGACAGCAATGGCTTCTACCAGACCATTTTCTGTCTACTTCATCAAGTTTGTATTACATTATGAATAATGAGAAATCTGACCATATAAAAAAAGAACTAGCACGTAGCTAGTCACTCCATATGACATAAATCTCAAACATGAATTACTTCAATCTAACCTCACGACTTCCCAGCTGGTCTAGTTGATAAGAACCATGTAAGTGTAACAATTTCACCTGAATATAAAAATTATGGGTGGAATATTTCTCAAATTGCAACTTTCAAGATCAAATTACAAAGAACCTCCAATCCCCAAAAAAATGTACTCACCACTATTTCTAGCCAACCAACTGATAAAGCAGCTGACATCACTTCCCAGTATCTTGGATCATCCTCAATGGCCTGCAAAGGCACATAACCGAATTAAGAAATTTCAGTTCTTCAGTCACTTATTTTCTGAGAAAACTACCATATCTTCTACCGACTTCTTAGAGAGGAGCAAACCTGTAGGCCAACAAGTTCCTTTTGGAAATCCTGGAGCTTCGAGTAGATTGTTGGATGTGAGCTTGAAAGGAGTATATCGTAGTCCTGCCATGATATAAATGGTAGGTCAAAAACTCTAGAAGTTCAAATTTAAGATAGCTTAAGTATTGGGGGAAGAAACTAATTACAGATAGCCAATCAACGAGCCGTTCAGGCAACCAAGACAGACATGTCTTATCTGCATAGAATAATTCCATCAACTCCCACGCAGCTTTTAACGAAGTTGGTTCCTCAGCATTCTGCATATGTATGTTAATGGGAAAATCCATTAACAAAACTCCCACAGTCAAAGCTATAACTCACTCGTGGAAGAGTTCAATTGTCATAAGAAAGAAAAGCTTGATTACAATACAGCACAGTAAACCTAACCAATGTCAAACCAGAAAGACCTACATACCTTTATAACTGATTTTGGGTCTTCAATCAGAGGAGAGGGGGAAGATATTGTATTACTAAGGAGAGATTTAATATCCTTGCTGTATTCCATTACGTATTCCCACCTGATACAATTATGACAGTCCAGAATGCTCAAACACACTTTAGAAGTCTAATCAAAAGAATGAAATTTCAATTGACAAAGCTATGACAGAGTAATCATTCAGATGCAACAATAAGCCACAAGAGCAGATCAGTATTCTAAGAATTTGAGAATTAGGAATAATGAGTGTCCTCACCAGGCATTCTGGTACAAAGAAGAGCTCATATCCATCTTAGACAAACTTGAAATTGAGTTTCTCCTGCTCTGCAAAAGCGCAAACGGAGAAACCGATCCATAAGCGATCCTTCGCCGCTGTGCGTCACTGATTTCGCTATCCTCGCCGCTAAGACTCACGTTTACGACCTTACCACCAGCTTCTCCGTCATCATCGCGTAAGTCCGGATTCCTTAAAACCGTGACGCGTAGGTTGTTTCCGCAACCCCAAGAGATGGAGAGCCTATGAACCGGAGACTTCAGGCCGTAGCTTAGAGGATACAATACCGGAGCTTTTTCCTTCGTCGAAAAGGGAACCAATTCTCCACCGCCGTATTCCGAAGTCATACCCGGCATTCGGAGCTCCGATTGTAGAAATGGCCGTTAGGGTTTTAGATTGGGGTTTTTCAGCTTTCAGGAGGGAGAAGAACTGAACTGAACTGACCAGACCAGAAATAAAAAAAAAAATAAATAAATAAAGAACAGGGACGACAATAAAATGCACCGTATTGTAGACATATATTTGTAGTAATTAGATTAATAGCTACATACTTTTAAAAACTTTCTAATTGGACCTTGTATGTTGTCAGAATGTACATTTAGCACCAAAAACAACCCGTCGTTTTTTTATCAGAAAAATGAACATCTTGACGTTTATGGTTTACTAGAGCTACTCTTATCTCTCTTCTTTATCGTGGTGATGGCCTTGGATTATTAAGGCTTCCCTTTGGTCCTCTGTCGCCGAGGAGAATCTCCAGAAGCGTACCATGTGGCCTTCGTCTGGAAACTCTTCGCAGCCTCAAGCTATGGTATTGATTTAGCATTGTCTCGTCTTTTTTTTGTTGATAATTTGTTCTTAGTTTTGTTGCTTCTCTTTTTTGTCAAATTTCATCTCGGGATGTGGAATTGAGACCAGTTTGATAAATAAAAAGAAGTAACGAGTGGAATTAGTTGACGAGTGTGATTAGAAAATTTGAAAATAATCAAATTAGAAGTTCTGGATTATAATGTTCTTTTGACTTCTTTCTTCTTCTTTGATAAGTTCAGTTAACTAATTCCTCAAGGTGTATGCCTCAATGGAAGTTAAAAGAAAAAAAAAAAAAAAAGTTCAGTTAAGCTCAAAGAGTGAAAGGCTGATTCTTTCTAAATATTTGACTTTGCTATAAGTGCACTAGTGTTTGGCTTCGTAGTTTAAAGTGATTATAGGTCTTATATGTATGTTCCATGATTGATTGGCTAATAAAATCGTGTGATTTGTGATGTAACTATGGATGTTTGCTTCTCTTCTAAGTTCTTCTCACCCACCCCGACGAGAATTTTTCATGTTTTGTTTATGAAATGAAATCTTACTGAGACTGAAATTAATTGAGCTGTATCTACTTGGTTGTTTAGATCATGTACCCAAGTATTCTTGTTGGATAGTTGAAAATGTATTTTTGTGGGTGTTGTGAATCTGATCAGCGACAAGAGAAGAAGTCGATATCTGGGAGTTTTAGGGCAGAGAATCTCATACCAGGGGTTGTTATAGGATTCATCATAGGTATGATATTGGATTTGTCACAACAAGTGAGATCCCCAGTGAAAAGGAGTAGACTTTTATCCAGCAAGATCCAGAAGCAGAGTTCTGCACCAGGCAATGGCAGTGACCAAGAGCTGAAAATGGTTTGTCTATCATCTAGTGTCACCATATTCTATTTTTTTTGGCCCTAGATTTTATTGGTTTTGGCTTTTGAGAAAAGTATTACAAAACCTAGTGATAATACAAGATGATTTCTATTCCAAACCCATCAAATGTGAGCTTCATAAAAGAAACTTGCATAATTTATACAAGGATGGTGATAAGATTTTAATGATGCAAGATTTCTAAATTAGAAGTTAAAATCAGAGACTTTGTGGAACTAATTTGGGCTTTCTGATCACAGGTCTTGGTAGTTAGGCAAGACTTAAAGATGAGAACAGGAAAAATTGCATCACAGTGTGCACGTAAGTGTCCTATAAACTGAATTTGAAGTTTGAACTCTGACATTTTTTGTTTTGTATGGAAAGGAAAATGACTTTCATTCTAATGTTTGCAGATGCTGCCACTGGCATGTATGCAGAGTTGATGCAGAGGTAAACTTTTTTCTGTATTGAGGTGTTTGCTTGGTAAAGAAATAAAGAATGTATCATTCCAAAGTTTATTTTGTTTTACTATACACTTAATTCTTGCAGTGACCGATACCTACTGAGGCGATGGGAGGAAAACGGGCAACCAAAGATAGTTGTATCTTGTAAAAACCAGCAAGAAATGTAAGCAGGAAAAACTCTTGGGAAAACAGACAAAACGTACATCAAGAAATATGATTACTTTACTTCTTAATAAGCTATCTTCAATAGATTTGTTGTAAGCTACATTACTTTTTTTTACTGCTCTAAGGAATAAGATCACAGAGGCGGCTGAGAGCGTTGGCCTCCCGACTTTTGTTGTAGCTGATGCTGGAAGAACAGAGGTAGTTTTCTACCCTCTCATGTTTGATTAATTATTGAGAGCATGGTCCAATCGTAGCTCCTCCTATTGAAATAAAATCTTAAACTGTTTTTTTCACAGGTTGCAGCTGGATCAAGAACAGTTCTTGCAGTTGGACCAGGTAGAGACATGAGTTTCTTTAAACTTCTATATCTAGGTAGAGAAGAACAACAGATGGTGTTCCTCAACATGTTCATGACTTTCGCTTGTGCAGGACCGAAGGAGTTGGTTGATTCCATAACTGGTAGGCTGGCTTTACTCTGATTCGGAGCTTTTTCTTGGCGTAGTTCCTTTGGGATTTTGAGCTCCCCAGGATTAAAGTTAATTCAGGCAAGACAGTGTTGTTGTGTAATGATTGAACAAGGTACATGTCAGATTTGTTGTTGGTTAGTTTAATTGTAGTCGTTCTTGTACCGGTTACAGTATTTGGAGTTGAATTCATGTAAAGTTTTCATTTACGATTCTGCACTAACAAGTTATTATTACCCTCCCAAAACCAAGATTAACTAACAACCAGAATTTGATAGTCAAAATTAGGGAAACAATTTTTCATTACTAATAAAGGAAACATCCTCATATATTACTCTCGTTTCTCAAAAGCCAATATATCGTCATTTCATTTATTTTCTACTTTGTTCATGTTGTTATCTTTTTTTTTTTTGTGTGTGAACCAATTCATGTTGTTATCTCTATTCGTCATTTCAAACATAGATCTAATATTTTCCATGTCCTCCTGATGTACAATGATGTTTAAGAGAATCTAACAATATTTATAAGTCCCTGTACCAACATGTTCTGACACTACTCTCATCATTTTAAAAGCTTCCGGACACTAGTAGAAACGTTCAAACGTACTGTGACACTTTTTTCCACGTCGTACCACCCACCAGACTCAATTTCTAGTACGTACATATGTCTGAGTGCTTCTTTTGCTAGAAATGATTCTGATTAGTGTTTTTACTTACTTATATTGATTTCGTTTGTATGTTTGTAGCTAGCGTATATAGTCCTTCTCATATGTTTTAAGCTTTCTTTTCTTTCTTTTCTCCTTTTTTATTCTTCTTTTATACACATAAAATCATATATACATACTGATACTGGTGACTTTGGAGAGGATTTGCTTTTCATACTTTCTTTGAGTGACGTCGAAGTCTTCCCCTAAAGTTCAGAACGCTATACGTTGGACCGTTATGATTCCACATTATAATTATATAAATATCTATATTGTACCACATCACATGGCATACAGTAGACGCAACATACTCACATGACTCCATATTTTAGATATATGTATATGCTTTTACGTATTCTTTTCTTCCCTTTCCGGATATGATATTTAAACAACACAAATAACAACGTATAATGTTTATACACAAATCATCAATAGTATTATATTTAGTTAACACAGTTAACAAATAAAAGAGGGTGAGAAATCTCGAAAGAGTTTTGATATTGTATCATGTCATTTACAGTGGAACGCATATATAGGTTTTTGATCTTTTGTAAACGATCGAGTTTAAGCTTACCATTTGGTAAATTTGCAGATCAAAGTGTCAAGTTGAATGGATCAGTGATAAGAATTGTTTATGCATAGACAAAATCTAATATACATATAAACATAATACATTTGGACATTGGACAATACAAGTACAGTCCGTGGACCTTTACATATATCTATCAAAGATAAAATATTTAATGTTAGTTAAGAAGAGGAAGAGGACCATGCATATTTTGTTTATATTATAGATAGATATATATATAATAAGAAGACTATATACATCATAAATTTCGCCCACTTGCTGGTTAGGTTTGCATGAGAATGCATGTGACGATCACCTCAATCTATGCTCCATTTTTCTTTATTTTAATTCTAAAACAATACTTTATATATTATGACTTTTGTGCTGTGCAAATTTTGTATTTGTCCCTTTTTTATTATACTAAACATATTTTAGATTAAAGCATCAGATTTTCTCGAATATTGTCAGAACGCAAAACGTGAATGAAGTTAAAAAAAATTGGGGGGAATAATAATTAAGTTCTGATAAAATTACAATAACTGATCTGTCAAAATGAAGGAGCATCCACCTTGGATCCCGATGTTTTGGGTGAATAAGAACACTCTTTAATTAAATTTAGATACAATACAATATACAAACTAATCCTGTCTGCATATTGATATAAAATTTAACCTGATCGAAAAGATGATAATTACAGTACATATTTGAGTTTCTTACATACAACGAAATATAACGTTTTCTTGTCATATATTATCAAAGTTCTGTTTCAAATTGAATTGGTTTAATATAGTTCCCTCGAACGAACACCGGAACCAAATTAATCACACACATAAGAGAAAGGGGAATAACAACTATTTGGAATTATTCATTTTGGGTTCTAGTTTGTTCAATTATTTTGAAAAGAGTGATACTTTTACATCATGATTAATTAACTTGTATCTACCCTGTCTACAATTATTTTTATAACCTTTCTAATTTAAATTTAAAGAAGCAGAAGAGACGAAAACACAAAAGTTATCAAAATATATCAGTAGTAGTACTACTAGTCTGCAGAAGGCGAAAACGAAAAAAAGAAAACAATTAAAAGATGTTAAAAGATAAAAAGAAAAGGAAATTAAAAAAAAAAATGCTAAATCGGAAAAAGAAACAGATTATTGCGAATTTATCCACGTGGAAATAGGAAGGTTAGATTAAGCGTCTAAAATTAGGAGCCACGTGGTTATTATTATCATGGATTAAGAAATCTTCACCGTTGGATCTGATATCCATCATTAGATTCTCACACCTTAGCTGACTCATCACATGCTCGTCTCTCATCTCCTTCTGTCGCCGGAGCTCCATCACTTTCCGGTGAGAGTTCGAGTGCCTCGCCATCACGAACGTCGGACTCGAAGCCGGTCTATACTCCGGCACCAGCCTCCCTGATTTGTACCTCACTCCACACGCGTTGCAAAGCGTCTTCGGACCCATCGGTCCCGTCCTCCACTGCGGCGTCTTCTCCGTCGCGCAGTGCAGACAACGACGCCCTCCTCCGCAGTCTACATCCATGTCTACGGCGGTGTCTTGCTCATTGGCCACCCTTCGTTGTTTCTTCTTGGGGTTGGATTCGTCGGAGGAGTCGGCTAAGGATAGAAGGCGGGAAGCCCACGTGGAAGCTGCAGAGCGTGACCTCTTGCTTCTCGCTTTGGCAGGAACGGCGACGTTTGATTCGTCGGTGTCGATGAACTGGTCGAAATCGGGTTCTGGCTCGGGTTTAATTTGGTGGGTCTGGGTCGGGCCGATGGTTTGAGGGTTTTTTAAACCGGATAGTAAGTGAAGCTTGTCTTGGTCTTCTTCTGAGAATGTTTCCTCCACAATATTGGATAACCATTCCAATTCAGCTAAATCTTCACTCTGATTAAGTGATAGTTAAAGAATAAGAAGAAAAAAGTGTTATTAGTTGAGAAATATATACTTTATATATATTGCTTTGCTCTATGCATACCAAATTCACATTTCATATTTCACCAAAAAAAATAATAATAATCACATTTCATATTATATGATAGGGACATATTAACAAATCCATGATACTTTGTTTTTTAAGAGTTAAAAATCAAATTGCAAAAAGATGAGATTTTTTAATGGTGTGAATTAGGAAAAATACCGGAATACAGAGGTCGCCGGAAAAGCCAGTGCTGCTGTCGACGAAAAACGAGGAGGAGGAGTTGGAGCTGTCGGCGAGAGTGACGGTGGAGGAATCAGGAAGGAAAGTGTCAAAAGCGTCGTCAACTTGGCCGTCGTCGACTTGACCGTCGTCGTTAGAAAAGTCGAGGAGGTCGTCGACGACGAAAGAGTCAGTGTTACCGGCGACGAGGAAAAGCTCCGAAGCTAGCCGTTCCATTAGGGGAAAAAAGCAGAGGAGGTGCAAAAAGGAAGAGACTTTTTTGGGGGGTGTGAGCGAAGAATGTAGCGGAGAGAAGAAGAGAAGAGCAGGGGAGAGAGAGAGAAGGGTCTCTATTTTTGGGGTTGTGTAAAGGAGAGTGATGTTAGAGAAAGTTATGGCTCATGTGAGAGATGAGAACGAGACAGAGGACTGCTAAAACAGAGGAACTTTGACTATCATCTAAATAATTTTTTTAATGTTATTTTATTTAAATTTACTAAAATTACAAACAACAATGTATTACGTATCTTAAGCGACATTTGCTTCAAAACAAGGTTGAGAGGTGAATCCCAAAAACAATTCACTTCTATTTTCTAACTTAATAATACTCTAAGCATATTTTCACTTCTTTTTTTTGGTCAAGCTCTTGAATTCTGTATTCCATATATTTTTTAAATCTTGAATTTAGAACTTGTAATCTTGAGTCTCTCTCTATGTCCTTTACGTAAAATCAAAGAAATGACAAAATATCAGCTTATTACAACTTCGATACTATGACGATGAATTTCGGATACAGTTTGTAAATACGTAAACACAGAAATAGAGAATATGAAGATGCTCGAACACAAAGAGAATTTAAATGAGCTTTGTTATATTGGAACTGATAAGTAACTGAAAAACTTGGCAGTAGGGTAGTGGTACATAACATCAGCATCACAACTTTATCCTAGTGTCTAAACAATACTAGTATTATATGGAGGAGATGCAATATTTTACATATGAAGAGGTAAACACACATATAGTAGTAGTAGTTTGAGTGGCACCATGTTCAAAACTAAAGCCCAATGGACTTAAACTTCATAATTACTCACTAAAATAGAAAGCACAATAATCAATTGTGGTCTATACCAAAGCCCAAGTCATAAAACATCAATCTAAAAAAAAAGCCCATTTACAGCAATGAGAAAAAAACCAATTATACAATTTGATTTGATAGTAGTAATCTTGAAACTTAACTTTTTTTTTTTTTTGCCAAGTTGTTCAGACACACAGCTTTGTGTCTGCAAATGATCATAGTCAATTAGTCATCATGTATTTAAACCTTATGTTTTTATTTGGGGGAAACAAACTGATATAGGTATTCTTCAGTTTTTGAACAAGTAGCATGATGCATATGTGTAATGCATAGCCAATAATGTAATCCTACGTTTTCGATTTTTAATCATCTTGAAATAGTTTCTTTTTCTTTTTTTTTTGTCCGTCAACGAAATGAAAGGTTTTCTAAATATGGATACGTAACGTTTGTTAAGTGACACAAAAAAAAATATGAATAAGAGTGCAAAAAAATACAGATATTGCCTTTTAAGCAAAATCTGGTAAAATATTCGAACTTTAAGAGAGTGAGAGAGGTCACACACACCTCACCTCACACCACCGCACTTTGGTAAAAGAAGAAGGGGAGAGATTTTGATTAGGCATAAAAGTGCGGCCGCCGAATATTCTCTCCAAAAAACTTTCTTAATAAAGAAAGATTAAAGAATTAATCAAATCCATAAAAAATAAAGAAAGTAAACAAAAAATGTAGTACTGGGCCGTGGTGGCCCGTTAAGCCTCGAAGGCAGCTTCAAAATAAAAATAAGGATAAAAAAGAGAGGTCCCACCACAAAATGGTCGGCCCACGCTGAGCACCGTCTCTATTTCTTTGTGCGCCTTTGCTCCTTTCCCCTTTGCCTTTGGCGTGGTTTGTGTTGTTTTGCCTTTTTTTTTTCTTTCTTTTCATACAAAATCTTTCTGTTTCTGTGTTTTTTTTTTGAGCCACACATATTTTACTTGACTATATTAGTAGCCTATTTTTTTAAAAAACTATTGCTTATCTTAAGTTTCACGGCTTCCTTTTTCTTGTCTATAAAAATAAAATTATTGTGTGTCTTTCTTCTTCTATTCACTATTCAGTGTCTGTCTCTGGACTCTTTATAGTACTTTTTAAGGTATTCCCCCGTATTTTGAATGTACAAGTAGATTTGAAGGATACATATAACAGCTAGGTTTTCTTTTGCTTATATATATAAGCAAATATATAAAATTAGTGTGTAGAATGGGCACAACATTAATAAAACTGGTTTAGTCATTGTTAATATGTAATAGTATATTCTTATCAAAATTGATTTATGATCGAGATCCAAGGACGACGACGACGAGTATGAATGAGAGTTTTGTCTTCACAACTTCTTACCTCATACTAAATATATATATATATATATATAGAAGAAATAGGAATTGAATAGTTTAGTAAAGAAAATATTGAATCGCGTTACGGAGACGGAACCATCGCACAATTGTCGAAAATAATGCGGAATGTCTTCACAAATCAGCAGCCAATGTTAAGAGACACGTGTACTGTTCTCACGCGCCTCCTGTTCTTCATAAAGGTAGCATTACATTCCTCGTTTTTCCATTTCGATTGATCTCTCTCTCTCTCTCTCCCTCTATCATTTAGAAACGAGAAATTCAAGTTTACAACCTTTACTTAACGAACTAAACATATTTCGAAGAGTCTTCTTAATTTATAGATTCAAGGTCGATCCACTTTGACGATTAAGCTACCTATTTAACTTTGGGAGTTTCTATATTACTATATATACATATTTTCTATATATATATATATATATAGAAACATGTAGAGGATGTGAAAAGAGTGTTAGTGTCAAAGAGAGATTGTCTTATGTTTGGTATTAGTGTTGACGAGAGCCATAGTTTTGAAAAAAAAACAAAAATAATAATAATAGAGATGCCGAGAGGCTTTTGATGTAAGGTAGTAAGAGTGCTCTGTTTTCTAGACAAAGAAACAGAGGAGTATAAAGAAGAAGAAGAAGAAGCCGAGAGGCGTTCGGTGAGAAAAAAAATTAGGGTTTATTCCTGCTCTGATACCATGTCAAAGAGATTATGAAAGTATATTGTATTTAGTTTTGCATGACCAAAAGGTCTATATATATACAAAACGAATTGTCTAGTAAAAGGAAATCTAACTAAACGATATATACAATTTCCTATTTACTTGAGGAGGAAGTCTATCCTTAATAGTTAGTTTGTGAATGAGAGTTAGTTTTTAAGAAAAAAAAAGATTTGCATTTAGTAAAAACTGCATGCATCTAAACGATATGCAAACCATGCATCTTAATAACATTTTCTGCTGAGCGTTGAAATGTAGTATGGAGTATAAACACGAGAACACGTTAAAAATCATATACTAGTAGTAGAGATCGAAAAATCAGTCTTTTGATATTTGGGTGATAAGATTCACTTTAATCTTAAGTCTTAACCTTGGATTCGTTAAAGAAGCAAAACCCACCAAACATATGGTCTGCCATTATTACCGTCTTTATCAAGTTTATTTCCTTTTCTTGTTTTTCGTCAACTATAGGGAAAAAAACATGGTTCTCTTCCTTTTTTGTTTTTGATAAAAAATCAAATCAAATATTTCTTACGAACAAAATAAAATTAAGAAGAAAATGAAAATGTGAAAGTATTTTAGTATATGGTAGTTGTGAGGTGACTTAGCATTGACCTGACAAAAATCAAATCAGGTGGGATGCATTGACTCTTTGCCTTAATCTTGAAAACAAAATGATACCAAAAACACAAAACACAAAAGTTGATTTCCTTTCTCTTTTCTTTTTTTTCCTTTAAGTGTGTGTGTGTGTGTGGTAGGTATATATCCTTGCAATTTACTCATCCTTTCGATAAATTTTGTTTGAATCTTCCCCCACCCAAATTAAAAAAGTTACATTCTGTTTACTTGTATCATTCTTGTTTTCACCTTTTTTAATTTACTCCTCCTTTTCTTATTTTCTCTTTTATTTTAAATTTCTCAATCCAAAAGGTTTTCTTCTATCCTCTACGAATTATTCCCCTTATTCTTTTCCAATATATCTTACTCATTTATGCAAAATTTGATCTAAGCTATACACTTATTTACATCTTTTTTTCTTTCTGTAATAAGATATTTAAACGTTATCCTCGAACTTACTAGTAACTATAATGTAATAAGGGTAAACGTTAGATTATTAATATAAAGTCAACTGATCCCTAGGAGTATAAATATATATACACTTAATGTCGAAAATCTGCACACTTAAAAACTTAGGTTAATGGTAGGAATTGCATACAGTTGCATATATGTATATATGTCATAGGTAGGTTTCATTGTCATCGTTATAATAATTAAAGAAATTTAATTAGATATCAAAATAATATTTTTCAAAAAAAATACGTCCACTGAATTAGTGGAAGCTTTGGACTTTGCTTGCTTTATACTCTTATGCATACACTTCATTATCAGAGGGTCCACTATTAAGTTTTTTTTCTATAAGCTTTTAAGAAAGGCGTTTTATAAATAATGCATTCTTTACTATAATTGCTTATAAATTTTTATATATTGACACATGTATATATATATATGCCCGTTATGCTTTCTCTTTATAAAAAGCTAACGGTCCTTTGGCACCGTTGACATATATAATCACATGCCAATCGAAGATTAGGAAAAAGTCCCATTAGAGAAATTATGATGAGTGACAACTAAGTATGTGCTTTACTCCAATTTGGATGCACAGCTCATATAATGCATTAGGAGATCTATAACTTGAAAATAGTATCAGCGTTCCAAACTAATTAATCAAATCATAAACTAATTAATCCAATTATATAATAAATATTTACATTTTGAATTCTACTGTTATCAGTATCAATCCTTACGCAGAATATATCCTCAGAATATGGAACCGGAGATGTGAATAATGAGTAATGTAAGGGAATCGTGCATGGGCTTGAATATAGTGTACCTGATCACAGGGGACAATGTAGATAAATTTTGCATGCATGTCTCATCTGGTTCTAAATATTTTCATTATAAATATATATATCACGACTATATAACAATGATCATATTATGTAAAATTTCTAAGTTTATATCAGGAATGATGATTGACGATAATGATGATGGCTACATGGGATTTTATCTGCGTTACAAGAAATCAAGGACGCATGCAACTTTTTCATCATTCTGTCCTTTCTTCAACTACCATTTGAATTTTCATTTATTATAAGGTATGTTTTTCTATAACTTCATATATCTTCTTCCTTGTCCCGAAATTTATATTGAATATATGCTTATATCTTATTTTTATATCACATAACGAAATAAATGTAAAATAGTATACGGAATTGTAAAACAAATTTTCAATCTAGAGATTTGTATATCATGTTTATGTATATTAATATTT